TGTTCCTTCTTCCCCACAAGCCCTCACGGCTGCCTCTTTTCTCCAGCACTGCGGAGAACACCACCATCTGCCTGTTCCGTGGGGCCCTAATCTGGGCATGATCTTCTACTCTTGCAGAGTCCGTCTGTGTCACGTGTCGAACAGGGCGGTGGAGCCCCAGTTCAAGTGTGTGGGAGGAAACGGAGATTTCGCCTCCTGACCTTCCTCTTCTTTCAGTCAGTCTCACCACTACCAGCCTGTCCCCTAGCCCATGAGCTCCGACACACACCCCCTCCTGATCTGAGTGAGTATCTCCCCAACCGTGGGAGCTCGATTGCTCTGCCACTCTCTGGGTATTTCATGAAGAGTAATGGTAGTTCGAACTAGGAAGCCTAGTTCGAACTACCTAGTTCGTGCCCCGTGTAGCTGCACGGGGTTCGAACCAGCGGGGGTTTAAAAATGGCGGGTCCCCCCTTTTCCCAAAAAAGCCCCTAGCCCATGAGCTCCGACACACACCCCCTCCTAATCTGAGTGAGTATCTCCCCAACCGTGGGAGCTCGATTGCTCTGCCACTCTCTCAGAGGTAGAAGGTTTGGCCGGGAGGGGAGGGTGGCTGGGTCAGATCAGAGTGAGGCTACTTGGCAATTCGAGTGAGTGGTGTTGCAACCGGGCACACGGGGTCACAGCGCTGCTCAGTTTTGCCTGGAGAAAAGATGGTTGAACCATAGCCCAGGAGGTATTCCTGGCTCTGCAGCCTATGGCTCTGATATGGCCTCTCCTCTCCAACTGCACAGCTAAAACTTTCTTCCAGGCACTCGCCGTCTCGTAGAGCTGGCTGCACTCATGGGTCTGAAGGTTTGGCTGGAAGGGGAGGGTGGCTGGGTCAGATCAGAGTGAGGCTACTTGGCAATTCGAGTGAGTGGTGTTGCAACCGGGCACACGGGGTCACAGCGCTGCTCAGTTTTGCCTGGAGAAAAGATGGTTGAACCATAGCCCAGGAGGTATTCCTGGCTCTGCAGCCTATGGCTCTGATATGGCCTCTCCTCTCCAACTGCACAGCTAAAACTTTCTTCCAGGCACTCGCCGTCTCTCATTCTCAATCGATGCAACATCCTCCCCAATGCAGCCTTGCCTCGCTCTCGTCCATTTAAAATGCCGCCGTGATGATCTTTTTCCCAGCCTGTTGGCAGGGCTGCCGATCGAATTGCTGGGTGCCTGGGCAGGGGAGGGGCCCGCTCCACGCCCCCGG